TGTGGTAATCCAAAGTATCATATATCTTTCGCGGATGTGCTCTACTGTATATTTACTTCACATACCAAATTTCAAGGCAATCCATTTAGAAATACACGAGATATAAAATCTCCAATTTTGATTGAATTTCTTCCTATTTTTGTATTCGCACCGAAAGTACGGAAACTTATTTGACAGAAAAACATACTTAACTTTTATAGATTTGTTTAACAAATTTGAATAGATATTTATAACCTACAATTAGGTGTCAATTTTAATCTAAGTATAAGCCACGTGTGCAAAGTTATTCAACAAACACCGCTCAATTTTGATCAAAATTTTGCGCACGCCTACGCAACAACTCACATGAGCTTCAGATTCACCTAAGAGTAAAAGTGGATCGTTTTTAGTTTTTTGTCATATGTATTAAAGACAGTTGAGTTAGAACAGCAAAACTATATGGCGAAAATACGTGCAGACACATAAATATTAGTTAGGCCTAGCAAACTAGATTAACAGTTTCTAGCTAATGTTTTCAAAAGAATCATTTGGGTGGACGGGTATTATTCATTGCCAACGTTTAAGCAAAAATTTACGAAATTTTATGAAATTATCTTACTTAAAGAGCATTTGGCGTCACGAGATATTAGCTTAAGCAATTAGCATAAATAATGATTCTTGATACAGTTGTACTCAGGGTGATGACAAGAAACTGTTAATCTAGATTCCATGTAGTTACTATAAATGAAGTTTAGTGTCACTTTCTTACTTGCTGTGGTGTGTATTGACAAACAGTCATGATACCTAATCAAAAACACCTTAGGTATGTGAAAAAAAAGGTGTGACCAAAAAAGGATTGAGCTGGCGACTTAAAGGAATGAAATCAAAATTGGCGCTAAAATTGGTAGCTACACTTATAGCAAATATTCATTCATTAATTAGCTAAGCCGCGTAATTTTGTTTCACCCACCATCATGCTCCAAGTTGAACAAACGGGGGAGCGGTCAAATATCTCCATATCTGAAGCCAATCAGCATATTGAGTGCAATAATGTGTGAACTTATTGTTTTTTACCTGCACTGTGCACAATTACATCAAAAATGATCACCTCTACTCAGGTCATAATGAGCCACTCAATTTGAACATTACAATTTCTATTCCAGTACATTATGAATGATACGATTCATAGTGGTCAACAATGAAAGGAAACTGTGAGATTAGCCCTAATCAGCTGATGTATGTTACACCATCATATATTTAATTTGGTGACAAAACTTAGTTGTGTTATCTTCAATACTTCACAAATAAATTACACATTTATTAGTGTATTAATTAATACTATCATCGATGAGTTGGTGTTTATGAGATTAGTTGTACGTGGACTTTTATCACCAGAAAATCAGTTTGTTGTAAAAACAAAAGTATTAATCGTAAAATGTTTCAACCCGATGAGGAAGTTTTATCCGATACTTCCCTATTTGTTGTAAAAACAAAAGTATTAATCGTAAAATGTTTCAACCCGATGAGGAAGTTTTATCCGATACTTCCCTATGGAAATTAAATTCTGATTACAGTCTTCCCTTGAAAACGATAAAAAATTTATTGCATTTTTAGTGCAAATCTACTCAATCAGCTATCAGCACTTTATCTACCGCAAGGTTCGAACCCCGGATTTAAATTTTGTACGTCCGTAAACATAACGCTGACCCACCGGGGGATATACTTATAGAGACATAATACAAAATAATAATAATGCTATCGCTGATTCCTGTGATGTGTAATATTTTGTATTTTTGTGTATACAGAATAGTTACGTCAATTTTAATTCAAAATAGAAATATCTGAGGTTTTATTAAACAGTGATTTTCTATATCTTAAATTAGTAAATTATAAGGAATAAAAGCAATTATATTTTAAATAACTTTAATATATACTTGTTTAGTGACGTCTTTATTACGTATTATAAACATTAATATTATATATGAATATTGAATACGTTAAGTCAACACAAGAGTTCAGTAAATATTGGTATTTATTGTAACGTTGTCTTTTTTTCTGTAATAAATAAATAATGAGTATGTTAATGACGGTGGTTCCATAATAATCGATAATATTATGGTGACTGCATTACAAAGGGGAAATATACGTAAATTTATATAGTATGAAATTTAAAACACGTGGCTATGTGATGCGTCATGATTGGAGTTTCTTAGACTTTTGGCGCGTCTCACTTTTCTCTAAATGAGCTTTTTGATCTTATAGGGTTATTAATTATTGAGCAAGCCTTTATAAAGCATTATAAACCTAAGGCTCAGTCACAGGAGGACCACCGATATTTTTTTTAATCACCAAAACGGTTAAATCACATTTTTGTCCTGCAAGTTGTTTTAAATTGTTTTGGTGCTTGTTTAAACATAAATCTTCATTCAATATTTCGATAACATCAAAAAGAGAAGTCCTCCTCTGGATCAACCTTAGAATAATAATGCTTTACAAATGCTTGCTCAGTAATTAATAACTCTATAAGATCAAAAAGAGAATCGCAAATTTTGGAGAAAAAATTTGCAAAAAAAACAAAAAACTTGTCGCCAAATCAAGTTACCTAAAGAAAAAAGTAATATTTTTGGGTGGAAAAAGCGCCATTTTCTTCATTTTTTTATATTAATTTTGTAAAGAGGACAAGTTATTCAACCCACATAATGTTCAAATAGAACGTGTATAGATTTTCGTCATTAAAAACCTTAATTATTGGCTGAATAAATCAAAATTATATAGCTTTTTTTATATTAATTTTGTAAAGAGGACAATTCATTCAACCCACATAGTGTTCAAATAGAACGTGTATAGATTTTCGTCATTAAAAACCTTAATTATTGGCTGAATAAATCAAAATTATATAGCTTTTTTTTTAGTTTAATTTTTTTTCACCTCTAATGCATTGAACTTGATGATTACTTTTGTAATTCATATCGTATAGGTTCTACGATTTTTGTTCAACTTACATAAATACCTGAGATAAATGTTTTTGTATATATTCATTATACTCAACTGTTTGTGTCGTATACAATATAGAAATGATGGGCTATTAAATATTTAAACAAATGTGGATCACATTTCACAGCATTGGTATAATACGGAGATCCAAACAAATTAAATGATCACTTACTATTGTAGTTAACTGAGTTTCTCTTAAGCTGTATTAATTATGGTCATTGTAAAAAGCAACTGAAACTTATTGTTTACACAGAATCGGTGCCCGAAGAAGCAAGTAAACGTCTTAAAAGTATATAAGGTAAAGTAAGATTCGTTGTTAAGACTTTCAAACCAACTTACACAGATAAAAATCTTCGTATGAAAAAACAGGAACAGATTTGGAGAAGGAGTAATTAAGCACGGCCGTTCAGACAGACTCGGATAATGTTCACGAGGCTTGATTAAACCTCTATTTACAGACTTATTTTTATACAAGGGGGGCCTCGTATTGCATCTTGTTGAATAATTTTATGCTTTTTCCCTATCAAGAAGATTTAACGAAATCAATCATTCCCTGCGTAGAATAAGTAAGAATTCCAACAGTAATTAGGGAAATTATCTGCATTACCGATAGTATTTTTTGTATATGTTTTGTGCAACTTACATGTTAGTAGGGACCATTACTTTGTATCCAATCAAATCATGAACCCACTCGTAATTTTATGCGTAAATATTTGAAAAAAAAAGGTGTTTAAAGTGCAAATAAGACATGGAACTTACCTCCAGTCCTAGGTTTGAAAATGATATATTTATTTGCAAGACGGCCGGCCACGTAACGTTACATACATTTATGGTAGCAACAAAGAATATATCTTATCCCTTAGTCCTTCTACAGTACGTACGAAATATGCCTTGTCTATATAAAACTAATCACAGTTAAAAAATTATCATATATCATAATGACTTACAACAACCAATGTACGTTCTGCTTACATTGTGTTATACTTTTACTATGTCAGAATTACCTGTTACTCACAGATAAAAGAAAAAACTAGATATAAACACATAGAAAAAAAAAACAATTCCCAACTCAAAATTTTTACAAATTAATTGAACGTAGTTAATTTTACATGATAATTCTATCTAATCATTATCTATTAACAATAACAACGTACTTTTGAACAAGTAATATTTGAGGTTCTACTTACTCGCTTCTTTTCCAGAGGAAAGTGCAGAAGAGTGGCAGATAATCAGATAAACACTGAGTAATTGATGAATCATATTGATGCTCAGGACCACAAATGTCTTTCTTGCGTGGATGTTTATTATGATATGTACTAACTTCTATTACGTACGCTTTAGTCCATTGTTTAAAAGCTCAAACGCGCACTATATGCACGTGAGATAGTTTATTACAATTCAGTGAGCGCAAAAGATTCATGGGACTCCAAATAAACTATACCAAAAGCACACTTTGTTTGAATTAGGTATGCTATAGGTCTTTCTTGATATATTTCTTTGTTATGTTCCGATTGTTTTATTTTAACAAATTGTTAATTTCTGCTCTCAAAAAAATTGTTTTTCGTCCAAAGTAGTTTAAAACTATCATCATAACCCATGAAATCTTCTACTTTGTTTAAGGTTCCGAATCCGTAATTCTTCCCACACAGCGTGCAGTCACGACCGCCAATGATTCAAACAGAACGGCGCGAGCAGGTAGGCAGGAGTAGGTTTTTAAAAAATAAGAAGTTTCCAGTAAATACGATGGGCATTGCCATCTAGTGACGAAATAATCAAACACGCTCAAAGACGTACCTGTATTGAAAAATGTTTCGTACAGTGGTGATTTTGATATATTTTACTGAAACGGGGAAAAAAATTCAGTTTACCAATTTCAAATTGGAAGCACATAAGAAGCCTATATAAGAGTAATTAGCCTAAAACCATACCAACATATTTTACAGTCCTGCTGAGTAAGATTACATGGAGCAAACATTCGGCAATGAATATACGTTTTTATTTACTTATTTATCGAAAAATATAATACAATGTTTTTTTTTAAACAACGATTAACATTATTAAAGGTACAAAGTGTTATTCGTTGAGCTCTGTTTTTGGTTCCGTTTATTACTTAATGTATTATTTAGGTAATAATATATTTCTATAACGAATCTTGTTGAAACTGATAACCTGTCAGTGGAGGACGGATATTATTTTTCATTTATGGCGTGATCCATTCGAACAAAGACTTATGAATTTGTGTTTGTGAACAATGTCTATAAATAAAACGTCTTTATTTTATAATCTTTTGATACAAAAATGACGAAAAAAAAATAGAACGTAGGAAAGTGAGTTTACCCCACCTCGAAACATCTATAGTTAATAGATAGAAAAAAATCACCAATATTTCTACAATATTTGAATATTCTAATATACGCCCGTGCGTTCTTTTAGGAACGTTAAACGTACTGTGTTGCAGAAGGAACAGGTACAAAAAACACGTGATTTAGAATCCTCACCATTCTATAGTATCAGCATATAAAGAACAAACTTTAAGCAGCTTTATTCCTCCATGATTTTGTTGCGCAGGTGGGAGGATTATCCTGTCAAGTTTGTTCTTTATATAATTCAACTTTATTGGTATCTATCACACATTAGTTACATATTGTTTGAGACAGCCCCCCCCCCCCCCCAGTGGCACAGCGGCATGTCTGCGGACTTACAAAGTTAAAATCCGGGTTTTGATACTCGTGGTGGGCAGAGCAGAGATAGCCCATTGTTCAGCTTTGTGCTTAATTACAAACAAACAAACAGATTGGGACAGAAGATTCAAGCTAGGGAAAAATACTATAATATTCTATTGTCATAATTCTTATTTACTTTTCTTGTATAAAATTTGTTTCGGAAAATTCATACATTCCACAAGACAAACGATTTAACGACTTTTGTCGCATCAGGAAATTATATAACATTGATGTAATTATTGTCATTCTTGAGATTAAGTAAACGGTTTAACTTATACCTTTTAGAAAGATGATGCGAATTTGTTCGCACAAACTTTTCTATAATGTAAAGAGTTCTCTGCACGTGGATGATTGAGTTAATGAAGAAGATAAAGACCCCCGATCAGCCAGCAGAAGCAGAGATTTGTTGGAGGGCAGAATTGATTCGAACCCACGACCCTCAGATTGCGAGTCGAGCGCCCTAACCACCTGGCCATGCCGGGGCCCCAAAATTATTTATTGCAATGTTTATCAGGGGAATAAGCAAAGGATGTAAGTTAAAGATGAGAAAATTTAATACAAGTTTTTTTATGAAAACAACATTTGTCACTAAGTGAATGGTTTATTTTGGTAGATTTGTTTTTACGTACAACCCTTAAAATTGCGCCAAAATTAGGTCATCAATCGTGTGAGACCCTATGGTAGAAAACAAGAGCTTATGACATTATCTGATAGAACTGATCATCATGTTACATTTTGATATTACTAATAGTATTTAAAAAGTTATTTAATACCATTCTGTAGCAATGAAAGAGTATTTGATATGACTGTTTAGAGTTTTCTAACAAAGTCTATTTTTTATAATGCATTCATTCTCAAATCTATGTACGAAACTGAAATACAGTTAAGGTAAAATACAGACATTTTTAGCTTGAAACCTTAAAGCTATCCTGTCCACGCAACCTGTACGGATTCGATTTGGTAGGAGTATGGAAGATGATTAGTAAGAAGAAGAAGAGTACTTAGATAAAAATCTACATTTATAATAACATTTACAAATGAATTTTTCGTAATCTTTTTCCATAGATTAGTTTAAACCTAAATACTGCATAGAACGGACAAGAATCATGATAATGGTATATTGGTGTGTTTCCTACTTTACTGCCAAAGAAGCCTTTCCGAACAATATTAGAACCATTTCTTGTTCCTTTTTTTGCGGATTTTTCCAATAAGTATCCCCAAAATAAATAGTTCTAGTCTGTAGCTTTTTTTCGTCTAATAAAAAGAGAATAGTCAGAACACTGAAATCTGAAAATATGTTAATAATATCTAACAAAAAGAGGATAGGCTATACAATGAAATCTGAAAATACATTAATAATATCTAACAAAAAAGAGGATAGGTTACACAATGAAATCTGAAAATATATTAATACAAAAAAAAAGGATAATCAACACAATGAAATCTAAAAACATACTAATAATATCGTACAAAAAGAGGATAGTCAACACAATGAACTCTGAAAAATACATTAATAATATCTAACCAAAAGAGGATAGTCAACACAATGAAACCTGAAAATAGATTAATAATAACTAACAAAAAAGAGGATAGTCAACACAATGAAATCTGAAAACATATTAATAATATTTTACAAAAAGAGGATAGTCAACACAATGAACTCTGAAAAATACATTAATAATATCTAACCAAAAGAGGGTAGTCAACACAATGAATCTGAAAACATATTAATACAAAGAAAAGGATAGTCAACACAATAAATCTGAAAACATATTAATACAAAAAAAGGATAGTCAACACAATGAATCTGAAAACATATTAATACAAAAAAAGGATAGGCTACACAATGAAATCTGAAAATATATCAACAATATGCCTTAAGTATTTACTTGATATTTTACTTTATTAAGACAGTTTGGCATTCATTCATAGATACTATTATCAATGGAATGATATAGGTCCCGTTGTCACGCAGAGCCTTGAGATTCCGCATGAAGGAAACAGTAGTCTACAGGTGACATATACTCTGTTATTAAACTGAAGGTAAAATTCTGTTTTAGAAGTTTTGTACTGTGTGATTATTAGTTTCAGCAGCCTTTTGTCAAATAAATTTTAGTTTTGCACTTATTTCGGAATGTACATTTTTTAAATCGTCAACAAGTTTTGATACTCAGCACAATCATGAATTTTTTAGCCCTTTATTTAACGCGACGTATTCAATAAGAACTTAGTAGCCTTTTATTTGATAGTGCGTAGCAGATGTTTCAGTTCTTTACAATATCACCTGGTGTTGACATGCCTCAGAAGTGCAAAACAAAGTTGATCGTTCAAGTACATGAAATGACAACACGTAATGAGCTGGGTACACCTAAACAAAAACTGTTTTCGTAAGGCTGCTGCTGCCTTAAGGAAGGCTAATTAGGTATTACCATGAAATCACAAGATCATTATAACATCAAGCACGTAGATTAAAATAATTACAGAATTTTAATGAAGTTTTATCCTGTAGAAAGTTTCTTTAGGGCTGTAAAAACGTACTTTCTGGTAAAATGCTTCTGTTCGTGATTATGTTAGGAATTATACAAGTTAGTTGGAAGTGAAGATTATTAAAAGATAATTTTCTAGAACATAAAAAAAAGACTTAATTTAAGAATGTGCAATAAGCAATTTATGGTCTTAATATGAAACTAGAGCATAAAACTACAGGATAAAACGAGGTTATTACGAAGGTACACAATATTTAAATCTCCATACGTTTCGTATACTGTTTGATATGTTTTAGTATTGTTATAACTTTCTAGAACATAAAAAAAGACTTAATTTAAGAATGTGAAATAAGCAATTTATGGTCTTAATATGAAACTACAAGATAAAACGAGGTTATCACGAAGGTACACAATATTTAAATCTCCATACGTTTCGTATACTGTTTGATATGTTTTAGTATTGTTATAACTTTCTAGAACATAAAAAAGACTTAATTTAAGAATGTGCAATAAGCAATTTATGGTCTTAATATGAAACTACAGGATAAAACGAGGTTATCACGAAGGTACACAATATTTAAATCTCCATACGTTTCGTATACTGTTTGATATGTTTTAGTATTGTTATAGTTTGTTTCTGATATCTGAGTATTTTTATACTCATATTATATTCTAAGTTATACTGGGATTCTGTGAATTCTAACCTAATCCTATTAGTAAAGGAGGCTTTAGTCGCGAACTGTGATTGATTCGCCTGTATGGGTTTATCGAATAGCACAAAATCAAAATAGAAATGATATTTCTGTTATGTTTTAGGCTAGTTAATCGGTACTCCTAAATATGTTTTTGTGCTAAACTGAACAAACAAATTTTGGAGTATGATATATATGTGTATTGTGGAAACATTCTTGAATGAAATAAGCACAATAAAACCTGAATATTAAAGAACGTGAATCACGTGGGGTAGTTGTAAGGGGGATATCAGATGTACGAACTTCATTATTCAAATACCGCGAATTCGCGGTTACTGTTTATGCACAGATTAACTATGTAATTGTTAATATGAAGTCGTACTATTCTATGTTATGGTTTGTTTAGAAGGAAAAGGGGGATTGTTGTTGACTAGTGAACAAAATTAAGGCTTTAAGGCTTTTGCAGTTTAACTGCAAAGTTAGCGCGGCTTTTGTTGCCTACGTTGATAAGGACCTATACAATTTCCATCTCTATAGAAGTGAATTCAGGCGTTTACTTGTCGTTGATATTTGTCTACTATTGTGTGACTCTGGAATTTCAAGTCGTCAGAAGTCCGTCTTGGAGGCAAACAGCAGTACGTTTCATGTATTGTAATCGTTCATGTGTGTTAACACAAGATATACACGCTATTGTTCATTGCGCATAAATTAGTACTTTAAGAAAACCAGCAACGTTGTTACACACTGAAGGTTTA